CTTTCCCTTTCCCTTTCCCTTTCCCTTCTCCTTTATGACACAATGCCTAGCGAGAGCTGTCCTGGGAGCAATTCCAAATGGACTAACAAAACATCGAAATATCCACAGATACAAGCACAATGACACAATTACAAAAAAGTGACCCTGCCCTGCCTGGAAGGTGGCATGTTATCTGATGATCGCTCCCTGATTTCTAGATTCTTAGGCAGCATTTGAACCACAGAGAGCCGAAAACTCCAGTCATTCAGGTCTTGGAGACTGAGAGGTAGTCTACACATAAGTGCGTAATGGGAATTGCTGCGGATTTTCGTATATTCACATAGATGATGAATTGCCTTCATTTCAAATCCAGTGGACACTCACACAACACCACAGCAATGTTGCTGCTAATTAAAATGATGCCCAGGAAGGAAGTTTCTCTGAATTATTTGCAGCCACACATAGGTTTTGATTTTGTTTACTTATTGGATTTATATCCCGCCTTTCTCCCAAAATGGGATTCAAGGTGGCTTGCAATAATTTGAAAAGGATACAACTAAAACATAAATTGCAACTGTTAAAATTATTAAACAATGTTAATATTAAAACACAACAGTTAAAAACAACAACATAGTTAAAACTAATTAAAAAAAATTAAACAGTAGGGCTTTAAAAACAGCACACCAAATACACACACACACACAAACACTACATAACAAAACACACACACACACACACACACACACCAGAAGCCTGTCTAAACAAGAATGTCTCCACCTGCTGGTGGAAAGAGGACGTGAGCCAACTGGACCTCCAGTGGCAAGGAGTTCCACAATCTGGGAGCAGCCACTGGGAAGGCCCTGTTTCCCATAACCTCACTAAACATGCCTGTAAATGTGATGGGACTGAGAAGAAGCCCACCTTGCAGATCTTAAAGTTCATAGTGGCTTATAGATGGAGATACGATCTTTCAATATAGAATAGTAAAGTGCTTTAAAGGTCAAAGCCAGCACCTTGAATTCTATCAAGAAACAAACTGGTAGCTAATGCAGCTGTTTCAGGAGGGGAATCTCATGATTCCTGTAGCTTATCTTCTTTGTTTCCCAAACTCAGGTACTCCATATGTTTTGGACTTCAGCTCCCAGAAGCCTCAACCATCTTGGCCAATAGTCTGGATTCTGGGAGTTGAAGTCCAAAACACCTGGAAGGCCAGAGTTTGGAAGCATTAAATAGAATTCTCACCGACTGCACTTTGCAAATTCCATGGCCCTCTCTTAGGATCCATGCAGAAAAATACACCTGTCGGTTGTGGATAACACTTATTGCATCCCCTAAAAACGTGTGCAGCAGGAAATTGTTAGTCCTTAAGATGCTTTGAGAAAATTTTATTGGGGTTTTCGTCCCTCTGCTCCTCACAGGGAATGGTTCCCAGACCTTTCTCCATGAGTGTTGGACTACAACTCTGGAGACCAGGGTTCAGTTCCCAGCTCAGCCGCAAAACCCACTGGGTGGCCTTGGGCTCTCAGCCTCAGAGGGATAGCAATAGTATATACATTTCTATACCACTTATCAGTACACTCAGCACTCTCTAAGCACTTTACAGTCTACAAGCTAACTGGCCCCAAGAAGCTGGGTACTTGTTTTACTGACCTATGAAAGGATGGAAGGCTGACTCAGCCCCGGAGCCCTGCCTGGGATCGAACTCACAACCTTGTGGCTGGTACCGGCATTTAACCACTTCACCATCAGGGCTCCCAGGAAGGCAACTGCAAATCTCCTCTGGATGAATCTTGCCAAGAAAACCCCATGATAGGTTTACTTTATGATTTCCATAAGTCAGAAATGACTGGAAGACACACAACACACAATACATACACACACCACTAGACACGCTCCAGCTTGTCAGCATCCATTTCAAACTGTGGTCTCCAGAACTGGACCCAATATTCCAGGTGAGGTCTGACCAAAGCAGAATAGGGTGGCACTATTAATTCCCTTGATCTAGTCACTATTCTTATTGATTGAGCCTAGGATCATATTGGCTTTTTTAGCTGCTGAATCACAGTAGGTTCATGTTCAGCCTTTATTCCACAAAGAATCCTAGATCCTTTTTGCATCTACTGTTGTACAGGTGTCACCCATCTTATCTACATCTGTGCATTTCATTTTTACGGCCCAAGTGTAGTATCCTACATTTCTTCTTTTAGAAATTCATTTTGTTACCTTTCGGCCAGCTTTCTAATATGTTTAAGGTCATTTTGCCATATATTTAAACTTGTGTAAAGCTCCACATGCTGAATTTTGTTTTCAATATTTTAAATTGCTTTTTTAAGACTCAGGAGTCAAATTTCCATAGAAAATCTATCTGCGTCATTGCCTGTCACCTGCTTTTGTTTGCACTGACCTTCTTTCTGTGTTGCTTACTTCAGTTCAAAATCCATGGATTTTAAATGTTATATTTTATGCTATATTATAAAATCTATTACATATTTACATCTATTGCGGACACACGTTTACGGTGACACTGCCTTATGAATACTGTGGTTTCAATGGGCCCCAAGTTGTTTCCTTTACAGGGACTGTGAATAATAAGAGTTTGACACAAAAGAGCTAAAATACCACAAGCAGACAGATTTCTTTGTTG